TTAGGCCTAGGTAAATTCCAAGTAATTAGGCCTAGGAAAGAATAGGAAGTCGCACCGTGTTTCAGGATAAGTTTTTCATTTGGTAAAAGTTTGTGGTGGAAGTTTGCTGGTTTTATTCCAAAGGATATCTCATTCTGCTTGGGATTACAAAATTTGAGGCAATGGAGCACTAGGGAACGTTTGTTTTTTTTTTTTATTGGGGGAAAAACATTAAAATGTTTCATTCAACTGATTTTTTTTTTTTTTTAAAGAACATGCCACCAATAATTACAATCTATGATTTAATTGATTGTACCTTAACTTTGATCTACAAGGACATTTTGTTGCTTGTTACTAAGAATAAATTTTTTATTAACAAAATTTTAATATAATAAATAATTAGAAGTTTAAATCTTACAATTATGACTAAACACAAAAAAACTTAAATAATAATAACTTAAATATATTTTAGTATCATGAAATTTCAACTATGAATTTTGTTTTACACCCTTTATGATCTATCTATATACAATTTTAAATATATTTTCTTTTTATTCTCTTTTGTATTTTAATCAATTCATATATCTTCATCTTTCATGCATTACAAATTATCTTCATCTTCTCATAATAAAAGTAAGGAAAGGCATCCTATTGAACTCAACACAAGTAAACAAGATTGTTGAGGTTAATTTTCTTTTAATTTTTCCTCAAAATGATAGATTCAAACGTACACTCAATATATCAAGAAGAAAAAAAAATTGCTTAAAAACTCTAGCACGTACATCATCTTCCCACTAACGGGCGTGGAAAATTCTTTTGTTATATTTTTTTAAAAGAAAATAGTAAAAGAGAAAAATAAAAAGGGTGTTGCTTTAATTTGCGTGAAGATTGCGTGGATGGCAATAGAGAACGGAAATTCCAGATATCTGGCCGAGGTCTTCGCCGGAATTGTTTGTCAACCTGCCTCCCCACCATTATTTTTATTTTTAAATTTACACTACATAAAATAAAAAAAAATTTTAATCTATATTTAAAAAATATATAATAATTATCTAAATAATTTAATAATTATCTCTTTTCACTGGAAGTAAAAAATCTTAAATTCAAATCGCATAACATGCGTGTGAGATGAGATAAAAAATAAAAACTCGTTTCTCATTATACAATTAAGATAAAAAAATATATTATATTTTTTTATTAATTTATATAAAAATTAATTTAAAATTTATCAATCATTTAATAAAATTATTTTATATGATATTAATATTAAAATAAAATTTATTTTTATAATATTTATGTAAATTAATAATAAATATATATAATAAATATATTCTTAATACCAACAATTAAAGCATATGCTAAAAAGTGAATAAAATAAAAAGAAATCCAACCAAACATGCTTTTTCGTCCTATCAGGCCGGAAGTGGGATGGGCTGGGCCCATATTTGATACCAGACTTGCTTTATCTACGTATATACAAATATACAAATATTAAAAATTGAGTAATATGACAAAAAAAAAAAAGTGTAATAAAAAATATTAAAGAGTTTTGGAAATGATTTTTGTTTTTGGATAAATCTTTTTAATGATTTATGTGCAGCAAATTGAAAATGGAATGCAGAAAATTAATGAGTTGTTTTAATGGCAAAATAAAAATATTTGTATATTGGCATTTTTTTTTTCATTCAAATGCATCATTGGAAGGAGAAGAATCCACTAAACCAAAGATGCTCTCACTCAACTTTTGGAAGGGTAATACATGGAATAAGAAATTGGGGACAAGGAGAATTTGGTGTCTATTCTCCATAGAGATGGCAATTTTTTTCATAACGTGTGGAGTACAACGAAAATTCTTATCACAAAAACAAGAATTTTAAGAAATATTCTTCCTTATGGGATAGTGATTTTTTTTTTTTTGTGTGAAATGTCGTGGTTAATTTTCTCTGCTCTTTGGGTGCCTTGGGGATCATTGTTCCTTACAAAAAAGTAAAAAAAAAAAAAAAATGATAATATACCTAACTTTACACAACTTAATTCTTTGCTCATTCTTAAATCTAGAACTCATTTACGGTTTTTATTTTTTTTATTTGTTTATTATTTTTTATTTTAAATTTATTTTACATTTAAAATTCATGTTCTAACATAGTGTGAAATTTTCAATCATATAATATGTTTCGAAATGATTGTTTGATTCTATAATTGGCAAAAAAAAAATTATTATTTTTTTCTTTTACCCTCATTATTTCCTGCAAAGATGAAGAAAGCTGGACAATTTTTTGTTCCTATCAAAAATCTCAGTAAGGATACCCATGCGAGGATAGGGAGCGTCCCTAAATCCTTAAGCCTCCATTATTAAGGATTGAAATCCTAAAGCTAGTATATTTTTAAATGCAAATAGTAGGGGGTGCGTTCTTATAAAAGTTTGTATATAAAGAAATGTTAAACTTTGATTATTGAGGCAAATAAAAGAGTTATCTCGTTATACATGTGAGTTATAATATGTAACAAAAAAAAAAAAAAAAAAAAAACGTAAACAATGAGTTATCGTTTGTACCTTTAAACATTAAAATAAAATTATTGATTTTTTTGTTCGGAATAGAAGAAATCATAAAAAGTCACAATTCATGAGAAGAAAAAATGAACTGCAAATGGTGATATTACATATTAGCATTAAGAGCTTTTATTGAGTGTTAACATGGAATCGAATGATTTGTGGGGCACTCCACTTATGGTGCCAAAATTGCTTATGTAGAATTAGCTAACGAAGAACAAGAGAAAAAATAATAGAAATGAAAAAGAAAAAATAGGAAGCA